TGATACCCACAATGTGTATCAAAAATATATTATAGTTTTTGTTGTGTCACCTCTGTTTGAAAAACTAGAGGTGGCCCAGGTTAGAAGAGCAGTAGAAACACTCAATATGATTATGGAAAGTCAACAAAATGAGTCAACGTAATTGTGCTCTGATCTGTGCCAAGAAGCAGACTGACAGCAGAGGGTGGACAAGGTCAGGAATAAACATGGGATTCCTTTGTAAGTTATGAATTTATTAGATATCAGTCTATGAGATATCACAGAGATCCAATTACACCAAAGACAGTGAGGGCATTTTACTAGGGATGGCATGTCAAAGACACTGGCTCCATGTCATGTCAAAGATGGTATCAGTTTTATCAAAGTATATATTACAGCCTAACATTACACTCACTGTGTGAAAACCTGATATCAAATCTAATTATATCAATAACTCAATCCATCTACCTCTCTTCAAATTTTCATTTCGTAAAAGACATGATTTCATGCAACATCTATCCAGATTACATGTTTTCAACACTTATGAGACAGTTATGGTTATACATAGGTATAGATTTCTAATTGGTATATTGAATAACAGCGAGTCAAAATGTGCCCAAGTCAATAAAGGTTCACTGTCCTATGATACGTACCAGTACAGATTTATACAATGAAGTTGTATTCTACCTGGAACATAGTGCCTTAACTAGAACAAGTAATGCAAGAAACCCATTTGTCATTCCTAGCTTTTCTAGATTCTATAATTCTATAATGGTACCTGGTAAAACCTTTTCACCACCAGACTTTTTTGCCCAAATTTTCCTGCACTTTTTTCTTATATTCTTTAATATTTTTTGAAATGAACCCTAATTTTGGAGCCAACAGACAAAATTTGAGTCAATTTTCGGTTTTTACTCAAAACAATTGGCTATTTTTGTCCCAATCTTCTGAAGGAAAGTGCAGACTATAAACGGTTCTACTTTTTGTGAATTTGTGATGAAAAGAATAAACTGGTGGTGAAAAGGTTTATACATGATTGTGTATGTTGATTCAACGTCCACTACATTGCATTCAATCACCAACAACAAGAAATGACAGGAAAAACTTTCTCATTCCTGTCTCCTTCCGGATAAGACACGAATACAACAAAGATTCACCATTGCAGGCTATTCTAGGAGCCCAATTCAGATAGGTGGATTCTACCAAGACTAGCTTGCATTCAAACACATTATGACCAACAACATGACATGCCAGGACAGCCTTTTTCCTCAGGGCTCACTCTGGATAAGACACCCATACCTCTAAATTGACTCCTAATATTAGTATATCGACTCATATCGCTTATTAAACAGTTTGCCTAATAGATAAGTGACTGGCAATGTACATCCACCCACTGGTATCCGGTATCCTACCATGCAATAAATCTAGTGAGATTTGCTCTAAATAAAACATAAAATCCCTGCAGGCATTCCCAAAGTGAGATTATAATTACACTTGATTATCAAGTAATTTCATGAACAGTTTATGTTGAAGAGCCCCAAAGGGAACTGATTACCAGTCTTGTGTGACTCACCACAGCTTAAATGTAGAGGAAACAATCAAAGGCACGGAGAACTGTCACCAGGCATGGTCATACTTATACTGAGGCACAGTACATAACAAAAACATGTATACTGAATATTTGCTGATTATCCAATATCCGTATCCGGTATATTTAGTGTTTTATTCATCTGTCACTTTCACTTCATAAGTTATAGTGTGTCGTAATTTTGTGCTAATGTACAGGATGTCTGCATTCTACCATATCAATGAATGTAAATTCCAAACACAGAATTTTCATTGTTCATTG